GTTGGACGATAGGAAGTGAAAATTGATCGTCCGGCCTTGTGGTTTGAACCACCGGTTCACACAGCGGTCGATTGAGTGAGTGGAGCAAACCACCCTCGTCAACCCACCTGGCTACCGTCCCACCTTTTTCCCACATTTTTTTGTATGATGATGAAGAAGTAGAAAGTTTGAATCTTTCTTTTGCAAACTATAATCAATATATTATGGTTAAAATTGTATTAATAAATGAGCTACATGATATGTTACCAAAAAAAGTTTACTGGGCCTTTTTCGTTCCACTCATGAAAGTGTGCAAAACAATTGACTACAGTTTTTGTAAAACTACAATAGTATAGGCAATGGGGTTAAAATAAAAAAAGTCTAATTTCCCTTATAACTCCGAAACTACAGCAGATATCAAAATTGAATTTCCGAAGGGATCAATATTGATCGCCTCAAAGATTTTCATTTCCTCCACATCTGTATCTCGAATTATTGAAAAATTGTGGAAGTTAGAACCAAGTAGTGAAAACACGGGAAAACTGTTTCATTTCTATTGAATCGGTGAGCCAAATTCACAATTAGATTTTTTCCGTAATTCTTATAGTTCAGGAATTGTTGGTTGAAAATTAGAAAAACCTTATTTTTCAAGCTCGACAACGTTTAAATTTTCCATGTACGAATTATGTTGTCTTTTACATGAACAAACTGCCTCAACATTGACAATCGACTCTGAAAATTTCATCATCCTATTCATCATTCAATTTTTGCTAATTATTACTAGCTGACCCGACAAACGTTGTTTTGCCACATACATTAATTCTATCAGAACAATAAAACTCACAAAAATATTGATCCCTCAATGTTATAGTGTGTGAAATATTTTTTGTTAGTCAATGTTTAGCTAACACAAACAAGCCACAAACAGACATTATTTGCCCTTGAGACTCAATAGTCATTGCAAATGCTAATCTAATTGGAAATTGCAAACGTTTAGGTACAATGTGGATTCGCAGTATTGATATGTTTTCACCTCGTAATTTTCCATTGAAAATGCTGACTTTGGCAACGTGCTTCATTGATTTTCCAATGACTTATCTCGTGCTGCTGCACAGCCGTGGGGGATTCAATTCTGGTGTTTTGACATANCGAATCAAGAACAAGTTTAATGGAACGATTATGTGCCCATGAAGGTGTAGTATTTTGGGAAGACAGAAAAGAACCCTCCTCATCTGCTCATTTTTGTAAGGTCCTGTGAGTAGACATTTTTGAATTAAAAGTCTCATCGTCCGATTATCTAAATATTTCGAAATTTGAACCGCTAACAGAGTGATCTTGGATCCTGGAAGGTGATATAGAAATATTACATCCCCCCTTTGAAAAAACCTCATCTTTCTCCCTTCTCTATGACTCAAAATCTATTCTGAAATTATTTGATTTCTTTTGGAAGTTATCCTAATGAATTTTGGCGGTCTCCAGGTAGTTCAAATGTACAACAAAAATGTATTACCTTTTCATTTTGTGGTTTGATTGATACCGAAACTTCACCAACTGAATCACTAATACCATTCACAAGTAAGCTCACCAATTGTCTTTGTGAAAATTCAATTTATCACTGGAATTTGTTCTTCATTGGCTGCTCTCCAACATTTTTCAACTAACTTTATTCCAACAACATCCTTCACTTTAGATTACCATCTAAATATACGTAAAATTCGTAGCTATTTCTATATGATCATACACTTTGCTCAGGATAAACATGTGGAGATCACCACAGGAAATAACCCTCTCTATTTGTGATTTCATCAATCTGACACATGTAAATACCTGTTATGTCGCAACAGGCAATTTGAGTGTTTTAGGGTGATAATTTCGGCCATATGGTATTGATTGATGATAACGTTATCACCCTCATAATACACATGTTGAATTTAGTAAAGTTCTGATGCTGTTTGTTTTCAGAACGAACACTTCAGTGAACAATATATATATCTATCGATCGATGCGATTGGCTTACTATCGCTGGATGAATTGAATTACCATTAAGATACTGAATGATCTCTTACAAAGAAAAGTTAGGTGATTTTCCACGGACTTGGAGTCGATATGTATACGATACATTTGTCAGACTAAGCGAGCTATTGAAATTCGTTTCAAAGAACACGAAGCCTGACTCTGGTGTCGCTCAACACACTTCGGGGAACGGCCATAAAATAAAGGAAAACTGTCTGAAATAGTTAAGACCGGTACATGATACTAGATTTTTGAATGCTTTTGGAAGTCTAGAAATAGCAAAGTGTGGCATGAGAACGATGAACAGTGACGAAGGTCCCATTCCATCTCTATATGATCCGCTATGTTAAATGAGCTGGAACTCTCTAAAGGCTATTTCCCTCGAGTTACTACTCGAAATCATTGATGTGTGTGGAAGTGAAAGTAGCTATAAAGTAGCCATAAATAGCTATAAATAGAGACCACATTAGAGTCAGAATTAATCAACTTCAGCTACTAAAGACGCCAACTTTTTTGGTGAAAAATGCATCGAGAAGAGTGCTGCCGTTCTGGTGTTTTGACATAAGTCCTTGGTTCGGTTTCATCAGGAATGTTTTGAATAACATCACAAGACGAAACACTCTTTTTTTTCATAACATGATTACTTTATGTCACCGAAATAAACGTATGAACATTCATACGGTAAGTTGATTCAATCCAAACCATGGGAGTTTAATTTCGATTGGAAATGAAATATTCCAGAAGATTCCAAGGTTTCGTTAATGCAAACACTAAATGAATATGTTTTGATAGCATCTTGCAGTTTCTCAAAATCATGATTAAAAGAGCAAAATGAATGAGGAGTTCCGCTCCTGCGACCGTATTTTAAGCAGAAATACATGATATCTCGTACACAAGTCAATAAAAATATTCTGGGATAGTCAAGCGGCGCTGGAAGCCCTTGGTTCCCACCGAGCAACGTCTAAATTGGTAGCAATACATCAAAAACAACTCTCCTCAATAGAAAGACTTAACAAATTGTCTCTGGTATGGACTCCTGATCATACTGGCCTGGAAGGGAATGAGGCTGCTGCTTCCCTTGCAAGGGAGGTTGCTGCGAGCAGCTTCATCGGACCAGAACCAGTCATTGGCATCGCTTTAAGCTTTGCCAAACAAACATTGAACAGCAGGATGGCAAGAAGATTTGTGGACTCTTGGCAAAATGTTCCAGGATTGGCTCACTCCAAGATGTTCATTAAGCCTTCGACGCTTGAAACCAAACAGTTGTTGGACTACAGTGGGGATGAACTACGATGTCTAACAGGCCTTCTCACGGGTCACTGTCGTCTGAATCATCATATGCAGAGACTCAAACTGTCGGAAGACAATGTGTGTCGCCTCCGTTTGCGGCATCAACTCCTAACCTAGCAGTTGATGCCGCAAAAGAAATCTTTATTTTTTTCCATTGATAGAACCCATTGTTTTGGTAAAGACGAAATATAACGATTTTTTGCTCGTTTCGGTGAATCGAAAATTATTTTTTTGCAAAAAGTGATATAACAGTAGAGAATTGTCATAACAACAATGTTGGAATTCAAAAAAATGTTAATTTTAACAGAAAAAACATATTGGGGTCTCACACACCCCACGCGTCTACTAATGTTACAGAAGTCCACATGTCGGATGCAGGGTTGAACTAGTACTCTCACTATTGCCATTTTATTACAGTATGGCTTAAACTAGTAGTGTCACTCTTGCCGCTATACCACAGTATGACTTAAACTAGTACTGTCACTCTTGCCGCTATACCACAGTATGACTTAAACTAGTACTGCCACTCTTGTCGCTATACCACAGTATGACTTGAACTAGTACTGTAACTCTTTTCTCTATACCACAGTATGGATTAAACTAGTACTGTCACTCTTGTCGCTATACCACAATATGGCTTGAACTACGACTGTCACTCTTGTTGCTATACCACAATTAGGCTTGAACTAGTACTGTAGGTAGGTAGGTAGGTTTGAAGTGAGTGGGTCTATTCCACCCTTCTCCGCAACCCATAAGGGTTTATTGTGGCTCACACCTATTCACACTCAGTCAAATAAACCCAGCTTCTCAACGAAGCCGATTAGTATGTATGGTGAGTGGTCTTCCAGGTCAGATGGTGAGAGTACGGATCTGCCGAACTCAAAGAACCTGATTCGGTCCCCAGCGGGGCAGGCAGAAAGTATATGCTCTGCAGTTCCATCATTTTCCAGACAGAGACGACACACACTATCTTCCGACAGTCCAAGTCTCTGCCTGTGGTAATTCAAATGACAGTGACCTGTAAGAAGGCCTGTTAGACATCGTAGTTCATCCCTACTGTGGTCCTACAACTGTTTGGTATCAAGCTTCGAAGGGTAAATTAACGCCTTGGAAGATTCTGCCAGAAGTCCATAACTCTTCTTGCCATCCAGGTGTTCAGTGTTTGTTTGACAAAGCCCAAAGCGATGCCAATGACAGGTTCTGGTCCAATGAAGCCGCTTGCAGCACCCTCCTTTGCAAAAGAGTCAGCAGCTTCATTGCCTTACAGGCCAGTATGGCCAGGAATCCAGACCTGAGACAATCCGTTCAGTCTTCCTATCGAGGAGAGTCTTTTTTGCCAGTTTGCTACCAATTTAGACGTTGCTCTGTAGGAGCCAAGAGCTTCTAACGCCGCTTGACTGTCCAAGAATATTTTTATCGACTTGTGAGTGAGGTTGGATTTATCCAATCTCTCCACACACAATTTCATAGTGTAAATTTCCGCTTGAAATACAGTCGCATTAGTTCCTAGGCAGGTAGGAACTCTGTCCTGAGTCTGCGACTGAAAACACCTGCACCAGAACCGGAAGGTGTTTTTGTGAACCAACAACTATCTGCTCTTGATATTTTCTTCTCCCGGATGATCCAGTCCTCTCTACTCAGGAATAGTACTAAATAAGGCAGTTCGTAGTTGACAGTTGGAAGCATAAAGTCAGAGGTCATTTCCAGAATGCTGTGACTTCCAATGTCAATCAACAGTCTGTTGCACCCTGCATTGAATTGATTTGTGCAATTGACAATGTGCACAAGTCTGTATGCAGTCCATCCAGCCTCTCTTTCCAGAAAAATGTGAAGAGGAGGTAGATCTAGAACTAGTACTGTCACTCTTGTCGCTATACCACAGTATGGCTTAAACAAGTACTGTCACTCTTGTCGAAACCTTTAATGTTTGTGTCTCACAGTTTCATTTTTCAGGATTGCTGTGCATCCATAATTTCGGATTTGTCAGCGTTTGATATTTCATGCACTACTCAACAAATATATAAAAAGGTATAAACTGCTCGACAGTAAAACAAATTTCGTGGAAACCCGCCTGAAAGACAGATGTGTATAGTCCTAGCGGATAGCTGTAGTTCAAATTTCTATCCACTCGGTATATTCCAGCTCCCGTTCCATGTTTGGTCTTCGATCCATCTGTATAACAGGTGTTTTTTCCAAACATGTTTTCGGGATGACTAATGGTCTTCCACTCTTCACGGCTTATGATTTCGGCTGTGAAGTTTGTGTTAAAGATATACATCGGTGTCATGTGGTCTGTGCACATATTCAATATGTGCTCCACCACTTGTTCCGAAATTTCTGTTCGGTCCGATCTTTGTAGTTCGGCGAGTTTTCTAGTCTGAATTGGCTCATTCTGGCCTATTCCATTATCACAAAGTGTAAAGGAGGTAGATTCAGGAGTGTATCCAATGCAGCTGTTAAAGTAGTTCTCATTGCTCCCGTCATTCCCAAACATGCAAGTCTTTGCAACTTGCCTGGTTTGTTGATAGTGGTTGCCTGCTTCATCTTCTGCCACCAGACCAGAGATGCATATGTTATCATGGCTTTAACCACCATCGTATATAGCCAATTTACCATGTCTGGTTTTAGCCCCCATGTTTTTCCATAGGTGGGTCTGGCGAGCATAAATGCTGTTTCCGCTTTCCTCTTTATCCTGTCCAAGTGTTGGTTCCAGGTCAGTTTGGAATCTAGGATTACTCCTAGATATTTAACCTCTGAGGGTTCGAGACCCTCCGTTTTAGTCCTTTTGGTGAATGCTACTATGATCGATTTGAATGAGCTTATTGTATTTACCCTTGACTGAGATAACTAAGTCGTCTGCATAGCCTAGTGCTTTATACCCATTGTGGTCCAAGAGATACAATAGCTCGTCCATTACAAGGTTCTATAACAGAGGGAATAGAACCCCCCTCCCCCTAAGGACAGCCCCTTGCTACTCGTGCCACGACTGTTTCCTCCATAATGGTTGTATATACCAATCTTTCCCTAAGCATGCAGTCTATCTACCTACAGCTTGTCTTGTCGATCCCTCTTCTCCTCGACGCCTGGATGATTGATTCTAACGAAATATTATCAAATGCGCCCTTGATGTCCAAAAAAGCAGCTAAAAGTACTTCCTTGTTTTTATAGGTAAGTTTCACTCTTTTTGTTACACGACATAGAGCCGTTTCTGTTGACATACCTGACCTGTATGAATATTGGTCTCGATGTTATGGTCTGATAGCCAGTGATACGTCCCTGATATGCCTGTCAAGTAGTTTTTCTAGCGTTTTCAACGCAAATGA